CAGCATGGATTCACCAAGGGCAAGTCACGTCTGGCCAACATGATGATGAGATGACTGGTTCTGTGGATGTGGAGACAGCATTGGATGTGATGCAAATTGACTTTAGCAAGGCTTTTGATATGGTTTCCCACAACATTGTTGCCAGCAAACTAAGGAAGCATGGGTTAGATGAATGGTCTGTAAGGTGGATAGAAAACAGGCTGGCTTGTCAATCTCAAAGGGTAGTAGTCAATGGCTTAATGTCTAGTTGGCACCTGGTATCGAGTGGAGTGTCTCAGGGGTTGGTCATGGGGCCAGTTTTGTTCAATATCTTCAACAACCTGTAAGATGGGATGGAATCCCATATTTTGCCCACCCCTGGTCTCACACAACACAAAGATAGAAACAGGCTCACAATCAGAAGTCAGTTTTGGATTATGACATGAACACAAAACCTCATTATTGTCCATAAGAAGGGTTGAGTAGAATAAGTACTTCATAAGCTTAAGAGCTATAATAATAATGGAACCCAACGTCTTTTGTAACCATAAATATTTATAGAAACAGCAAGATCAAAGTGAAAAATCTGGACTGGTTTTCTTTTTACTTTAGTGTATGTTTCAAAATGATGGGAATTTTCTTTCTGCCAAACCATATCAATCACCAATCCAAAACCATCAATCCCAAATGTGAGCAATACAAATGACCACCCTACTTTGGTTTACATGGAAGACAGACTGAATTATCAACTGTGAGATAAGAAATCTTGGGGCACTAACAGAATACAAAATACGTACTCCTCTCCTCCTTCTGATGACCTGAGCGAATAATTGAAAATGACTTTTTAAAAAAAAATTTAGCACACGTTTTACTGAATACTTTTTTATCACCGCAAAACCATCAGTCAATCATACTTGGAGTCTCAATTCAAAATTGAGACTGCAGAAGGAGTTATCATCCTGTGGTAACTATCACAGTGAGATACTTGTGGGAAAGTTTCTGAAATGCCTGCTCAGATTATGCCCTTATGCTAAACTAAATACAATGTTTTAAGGCCCTCCCACTCATTACTACCAAATTCACTGCCATTTTTTTTCCCAAAACAAAAGCCTTCTTGGTTGTAAATTATATTGTCAGCAATATTAGAAGTTGATTTATGGTTGTGTCTCAAGAATGGGAACAGGGTCAAGCCAGATGCATAACTTATGCACTGTACTATGCACTGTTAAAATGAGTACACAGAATTAAAAACGTGGGTACGTATTTTCTGTTCTTTTCCTTCTGGAACTTGTCTTCAAAAAAACATCTAAACTTTATTAATAATTAATGCCATTTCTATCCAAAGTGAGATTAGAAAAAGATCAGAATGCAACTTCTACATGACATTTCCACTAATTGTTCACCACTTCCACAAAGGGGAAAACTTTCTTTAGGAAATATTTTTAGATATTGTCTCATCTTTTTCATGGAGCCCTGATTAACTTGTAGCTGCTAAGGCTTATGTCTTTGATCTGGGGACCAAATTTTAAAATATGAGAAGAGAATATAAAAAGTTATATATTCATAGAAATTTACTGAGAGCAGAAGCAAGCTGATGAACTATTTATTGCACACTGCAGATTAGATTTGACTACAGGGTCCTCCAGTTTAGTTCAAAGGAAAATTAAATTGTGGATTCATGCATCTGCTGTTCAGTCTAGTGGCCAAGATTTAAATGAGTGAGGGGGTTGCAATTTATGTATTTTTAAAAGCAGCTTTTTAAAAGATAATTTTATGAGAAACAGCTTCTGAGGCCTCCAGATTCTAGCTTCAGTCTAAGAATTTAATCTGTTATCACTGAATGTTCTGACTAATTCTATAACAGACAGTAATAAAGGGACTAGGAGTCCCTGGTACCAGGACAAGTTACATTAGGACTCATCGCATAAATAATATCTCCAGTTTGAGAAGGAACAGGGAGGCACAGGAGACATATTACTGTCCATCATTCTCTTATTGAAATATTATAGCTAGCTGTTCTTTCATTTCCTTACTGGAAAATAACAATCAAAGAAGGGAAAAGAATTGATTTAAGTACTTTAATGCTTCATAGAAAATAGCACATTATCCTAAAAATGTCTGAAATAACTGCATTAAAATTACTATAACATGGAATAAGGTTCTGCTAAATAAGGTTCAGAGGAAACAGAGCACTATCTGATCTCAGATACTTAACTATGAAAAAGTTGAACAGAACTGAACCATGAATGTACCAGGCTAAATTAATATTGCTATAGAAACTCAAAGGATGAGTTGGATGCCAGGTCTTCTTCTTTGTATCATTGCAGAATAAATACATTGACCTTAAGTGAAATAGTGGAGTTCTTCCTGTTTGAAGCTGGCTAGGAACAATCCATTTTTTGTTTTATTTTCTTTTGGGTTCATTTATTTTGCTTTTTAAACAGAAAATTCATTTTCCACAAAATTTTTCCATGGAAAAATTTCAATTTTGCTATATATTTTTTTTTAAATTGGCAATCAAATAAAATAGTTGAACTGGAATTGGTCATTGAAAACCACAGTTCATTTGATCAAACTGATTGAAACACTTTGTTTTGGATCAGCTCAACATTATCTTGAGTCTGTCTGAGTTGCTGCTGTGCCTCACACAAGTCTGAAATCTTCAGTAGGGCACCAGCTGTTTTGTTTCGATGCTGTTTCAACTTGTTTTGAGCTCAAAACAGCAAACTCAAAACAAAATGAAAGGCTTCAAAATAACCTTGAAACGAAACAAAGGCAGTCGAAATGTTTTGAAAGTTTTAAAACATTTCAAGTTTCAAAGTTGGGCTTGCTTGCAGCTAAAGAAAAAACTAAGGAGAGGGAGGGGGAAGAGTGGGGAAGAACTGCTCTGATGTTGACTGTGTAGCCGGCCAGTGACTGTGATCATTCCCTGCGGTCCTTTCCAATCCCAGTGCTCTGGGGGAGGGACAGAAAAACAGGATAGAAAGCATTATTTGAACTGAGCTTTCTCTGGCCTTCACACTTACAAGTGACACAAGTTTTGCTCTGAACGGTTTGAAAAGTAGTTTCCCAGAAACCCCTGCACCTGGAAGGCTTCACGACCTCAGCAGGAGCTACCATCCCTGCAGTTCTCACCCCATTGCACCTTAACACACACACAACATGAGTTTTGCTTTCAAGACTTTGAGGTGCAGTTTCCCAGAAATGCCTGTGTCTATCTTCTTGAAACTTGGCAGACTTCATGGCCTCAGAAGGGGCTATCATTTCTGCAAGTTTCAATGGAATCAGGCAAGAAATTACAAAGGATTAGGCAGTTTTGTGCTTCCCCATTATAGCCTATGGACGAAATGTCGAAACAGTTTCAACGAAATGAAAAAGAACAGTGCTTTCGAAATTAAATAAAACTTGAAACAAAATACTATCCTGTCAAAAGAGAAGTTGAAATGAAATGGTGCTGTTTCTCACAGCTCTAATGTTCGGGTGCTTAACATCCCCATTCACCATTCACTTTGGTGTTCTGGGCTTCCCAGCTGGACCACTTCTCTGATTTTGCCTCACTATCCCACATGTGACTAAGGACCTGTAGTGCATCAAGTGTGAAGCAGCCTCACCAGGATGTGTGGCCCATTCAAAGAACATCAGGCACCCAAAAATCTCCTTCCAGAACAGAGAAAGTTCAATATGAAACCAAGTTGTAACAAAACTTGCTTTTGGTTTGGCTTAAAAATGTACTTAAAGCTTGATTTGGGAATGTTGACATTTTACATTTTGACTGAAAAAACATTTACTTCCAAAAAAAAGTTTCACTATTTCACAAACTAAAATTTTTTCAGAACTTTCAATGGTTTGTTGGGTTTTTTTTCGGGGAGAGGGGGAGGGAGTTGCTATTTGGAATTGTTTAGAAATAAAACAACTATCAACAGATCAGACACATGCAACATGGAAATTACAGTTTCCAGTCAGAGCTACTCCTGACTTCCAGATGCATGAGATCAGAATCTGTACCCACAGTATAGACCAGTGGAGGCCAACTTTTTTTGGCAGGCATGCTACAAATTAGCCCCTCCCTGTGTACTACTTTAATCCCCTTTCCCCATCCAATCAGTAGCTCTGTTTTCTGATCTCTGCCCTGTTCCCCTGACCAATTTGTTGCTCTGCTTCCTGGTCCTTGCCCTATCTGTCACTGTGTCACTTGTCCCCTTCCTGTGGGACACTTGGGGCATGTGTGTTGCTGGTTGGCTTTGGAAATGAAGGCAAGCGTTTATCAGTTCAATAATCAGACATAGAAGGCCTGATCCTCAGCTGACATATATGCTCAACTGAGATAAATCAAGTTACACAGATTTACACTGGGTGGTGACTTGGCTCTGTGCTTACTCCTCTGTCATAATTATTTTTGGATGAGTTGTGTTCATAACCCTTACAATTAGACAGATGTCTATATTGTACCAAATGATACAGAATTGGCTCAATGTGCATTTATCAAGTGTTTCCTGAAGAAAGAAGCTGTTGTATTATTAAACTACAGTATGCTGTTGTCCAATGCTCTGGAGAAGCACACTTTTGATATGAAGCACAACTCTGAATCTTAGGCTACCGGTCCTACCTTTTGATATCAGCTGTACAACTAAAGTTGTATGGTATTCAAGATGAAACAGTTTGCAGAGACCTGACAATGCCTGGAACATTAAAGCAAGTGAGACTCCCTACATCCCTGAAGTATTTTGCCTGATTTTTTTTGCTTTGCTTTTTTCATGTGGAAAAACACAATGTTTCTGTTGTGCTCTAACAGGCACTATTCTCTGAATTAATGTTTTTCAAAACCTACCAACAGCACATTTTATTTTTCTAGGTGTGATTTAAAATTAAATTGAAAAAACAACTGACTCAAGAAATATAATTAAATTATTAACTTCATTTTGGTTTCTTCATTGACGAGCTGCCAACAGAATTGAAGCATTAACAATTCACAGCAGGCACAGTTACTTATCATAATTAGACTAAAGAACTGCCATACTTACTGCAAATGTTAGGGCTCTCATCTGAGTTATCAGCACAGTCATTCATAAAATCACACAGATTATCCTTTGGGATACAGTACTTGTTGGCACATGTGAATTCTTCTGAAGTGCAGGGTCTGTCTGGGATGAGCAAAGGGGAACAGTCTTCAAAGGAAATATCATCGACTGCCACATCTCCCAAATAACTGACACCACGTTTTGCCCGGAAAACCACCTAACAAATGTTAAAAACAAAGATTCAAATAAAACATTGACAGATGAGTATAAAAGCTCAAAAATACACAGTCTGGTGCACAGAACAGGATGCATCTGTGTGTCTTGTAAGCCTCCCAAAGCTTTTAACTGTTTAGGACTACATACTGTCTTCAGTTCTTCCTGATGCAAATAGAGCTGCATAAACATGAATCAGCACCAAGAAAGTGCAGGTTTCCTTCACCTCTGCCAAGGTTGTTGGATGACAGATATTGTGTTGGAATCCTTGTTGTTTATGTTGTAAAGAAAACTATCATATGAGTTTACACTGCTCTTTAAACAAATGTGCAGCTAAGAAGCATTCAAAATGCTTTATATTTTCAAAAGTTCTACAAAAACAGTAATCAATATTAGGCCTGTGTATAGCGGCAATTATTCACTTTGGATTTGGATTCGGCCAATTTGGGGGACAGTGATTCAATTCGGTGATTTGAATCACTGTCCCCAACCGATTTGGCTGAATCTGATTCAGAGATTCAGCTGCTGCCGAATCAGCTAAATTTCCAAATCAAACAAGCCCCATCCCCCGCCTGCTCTCCCAGTCCCATCAGTGGCTGCCCCATCCGGCTCCAGCATCCCGACTCTTTAAAAAAAAAAAAAAGCAAAAAAAAAAGCCCCCACTCACCATGCAATTCCACTGGCACTTCCAGTTTCATGGCTGGCGCTTCCAGGGGGTGCACAGCCAATCTCAGGGGTGCACATGTGTGTGTCAATGTGTTATAGAGCTATAGAAAAGGGTTATTGGGATTTCCAGGCCTATTATGGCTCTGTTCATTAGGCTGGAGTAATAGCAGTAGAACACTCCATAGCCTGGGATGGAGAAGTATTTCTTCTTCCTTCAAAACTTTACTTGCATTGAGCTGTGATACTTGGTTTGGAGGCCAGGGAAGGAATTTTGTTCTTAATAATCTGAAGACCAAGATTAACTAATCACAAATTATATAAAATATGGTGTGGCAGGAGAATTATTAAAGAGAAAATGTTAATTAGAATAATCTCAATGATATATGAATTTGAAATACACACCTGAAAATCAGAGCGTACTCCTAAGAACACTTCTGCTCTGTTCCACTGTGCACCTTGGCTGCCACTTTGAGCCCAAAGTTCAGACGTCACATTACCAATTTTACTGAGTACCTAAATGGAAATAGTGAATTCCAGACATTAGTAAATCTTCCAATTACTGACAAACTCAATCTCATTAATATAAATTCACCTCAGCCAGTTTTTCTTTAGATTAATTCCTTCACTTCACTTGAAAATCATCAGTAGAAAATGATTTTAAGTGTGATCTTCCAAGTACCTGATCCTGCAAAAGTTTTCTGATATTCTCCTGCATGCATAGTGAGTTCAGGAATTTCTGAAAAGTCATAAGGGTCAGAGGAATGAGAGACAATAGTTTCTATTAGGATATTCCATTATCATATTAGATTGTTCCAAGTCAGATTCAGCAATCTGACGGCACATCCCATTTTCCCCCCAGAAATAAGCTTGTCAATTCAGTCCAAAGGAACTTGGTCTCTTTGGACAATGGAAAGTACACAAGATATCCACCTAATTTCTTGCCTCAGTGAACAATCACTCAGTTGGGGAGAGTCTACACTTTCCCTCTTGGCTAACCATTCTAAATATATTTCACTCCAACTTCTTGAACATCCAAATTCAATTGACCTGACAATAATAGATGGATGAGAGTCTGATGGAGTGTGTCAGGTCACGTCTCCAGCCAGTACTGACAGAGCTACATATCACTTCACCAGTTTCCAGAGCCACCTCTCTTTTCAAGGATTTATTGTCACTCAGTATAATCTTCTTAGAACAACCTGGACATTTTTCATTGTAATGAAGAAATGACATTTTTGAAAATTTATGCAGTCCTCTAAATGTATATGACACTATACAACAGGTAAGCTGTGACAAAAATGTAACAGAGCTTTCAAGTCAGAGGCACAAGAGGAGAGCATGCAACACATTAAATATAGAAGAAAGACAGAGTGGTGCTATAACCTTGTAACCAGGATACCTGGGTTTTTAGGAGTGCCCTTAATAGAGCAAGGGAGGTTTATGGATATTAGTGAAGAGTGTAAGGTGAAAGAGGAGAGTCTCTTTTCACCTATGATGTATGCATAAATGGACAAAAGTAATTGGAGAGACTTGTATTGCCATGAAAATATTCTGATCTTCCTCTTCAAAACTCTGCATTTTGACTTGAATGTTACAAATTTTTGCTTATATTCACATATTTAAATTTTCCAATGTTTAAGGGACACTATTTCTCAAATAAAGTCCACCTTTGTAAACCAGAAATTCCATCTTACTACTGCATACCCGTAGTTGCAACTTTATCAGGCCTAATGTCGTACCATGTTATGCCCTTAAAATCAAAGGATTCCCTGTACGTTGGTGAAGTGGAAAGGCTTGTAAATGCCAATGCCTTTGAGAACTGTGGCAGAGGGAGTTTTAACTCCTGGTGGGAATACGCATGCCAGAAAGGTCAAAGAATAGGAACTGGACAAAAGGCATGCCAATGTTTATCTAGGCTGAGGGTTGAGTAGCAGAAAACAAGATGTTCTTGTAAAAAGAAACATAAATTACAGGTACATAAGACAAGGATAGTGGAGCCTGGTACATGCCTAAACCAGTGTCTTGTGGCAAGCAAAGGATTACAGTAAAAAAATATATCGGAGGGATTGTGTAGAGAAAAGGGGCGGGGGTGTAGCTCTCTATGTTAAGGAAAGCTACACGTCCCTGCAAGCC